AATAAAGTTGGTGCAAGGACCGAGTTGTACCAGGTGCCGTTACCCGTTTTCACTCTCCCGGCTGATGACAGGCTGGCATATTAATAAACCTGCAGCAGCACCTAATGGCTGATTTCAGAATCGCTTGGCAAAATTTATCGAGAAGCAGCGAGGTGTCACTGTACTGTTTGTACTGGGATTTTCTGTGCTGGCTTCCTTTGTATCCATAGTATCTCTCGTGTCGCTTTGCATCAGGTTCTGCAGGCAGGGAGCTCAGCCTCAATCACTCGCACTGTGCTCCAGCGTTGGGGGTTCTGTGCTTTGGGCTCCCTGTGGAATGTTAGCTTCCACAGGTTATGTTAAGGACAGGGCACAGCTGTGTGAATCAAGTCCAGAAAGGGAAGTGGCGGAAAGGAAAGTTGGGGGTAGTTAAATCGTGAATCTCCTGGGAGCTGTTGGGATATACACCTTGCAGCTTTTGTCATGGCAGCTCTTACCACCGCAGCAAAATGCTTGCATGATTTTGTGGAAGTGTGTAAGATGTTAAAAGCAACACTGGGGAGAGGCTGTGCGCTTTTTCAGGCCAGTTTATTGTGACACGGAGAGGCGTGTTACTTGTTGGGCTGCGGCCGAGGGCGCAGCTTCGGAGCAGTACTGGCCAAGTCCTTCGCTGGGCGAAGCCGTTGGCATGCTGGTTGAGTTGACGGGGCTCTGCCAGCTAACAGCCCTTACTCTCAGCCGTAAATCAAGACTGGCAGCAGCATTAAAGTGGTGTGAGATCAGAAATTGGCCTCTGTTGTCCGAATAATGCCATTTGTAGTCTTGGATTTACACACATAAAATAGTGAAGGAGGGAAATGAAAGAGAAGCAGGGAATGAGACAGGAGATAAGGGGAATGAATTTTATTTGTATGCAGGTAGATTGGAAGGGCCTGCTCTTAATTAAAGCTCCTCTTTTGTCCCTTCTGTTTTCCTCATATATTTAGTGTTTGTACAATTTAAATTCTGTACCGTGATACTAGCAAAAGGTTAGCATTTGCCAATAAAACATGTGATACAATTGGCGATTGAGGTAAGGTGCAACTAGAAATCATTCCCTTATCATTTGACAGAAGTGTTGATTTCAGTGTTTCTGAGTAAATCCAAAGGACATAGCCCTGTATTTTCAGTGACAATACTGCTTGTCAGGAGGGAAGTGATTCAGCACTATTATTTAATTTTACCTTGAACAATGTCTTCAACCAGTCAGCATCTAAATTAATTGTATCTAGCATAACTGCGGCTTGATGAGAGAAAGAGCTTGTGAGGCATTGCAGAGAAGACCAAAATTGGCAGTACTTAGTGGAAAATAAGCATAAGCATGAATCTTTTCTTAGAAATTGTCCTCTGCTGTGCTGAGTCTCTCCTGCTTATAAAATCTGCTGGCAGTCATTTTAGTTTGAGTCTCGCCGTGATGCAGAACCAAGTATGCTCCTCCAACTGAACTGATAACACTGGTTTACTCTGCCAAAGGCGGTGAGATAAATGATTCAGAAAAGAGGTAGGAATCTTCCCATTTATGTGTATAGTATGAAGATATATGAATATACCTGGATTCACAGAATCACAGAATGGTAGGGGTTGGAAGGGACCTCTGTGGGTCATCTAGTCCAACCCCCCTGCCAAAGCAGGGT